CTCAGGTAGTGCAAGGTGTAATCTCAATACGATGCCACCACTCCACGCTGCCACGATCGCCTCTGAGTTATGGAGCAGATGTAAGTATCAAGGAGGGCCTGGCCCTTCTTTTATCTAATTTATAGTGGTATTGTAGATGATGAAAACAAAGATGTCATTAAAATCGACTACGCTAATTATATTCCTATAGGGTAGGCTTCTTATCTATCACTAAACCTTGAATAAGAGTTCCTAGGTCGCATAAGGTGATGAATGGTAGTTAGATTTATACATACATATATAAAAATTCGAGGTTCGAAAAAATATAGCACTTGGCCTGTAACCAACCGGAGTTTATATGGGTGTATAAAGGAGGATATATTGAATGCTCCAAGGGCGGCTCAAGCATAGGCATAGGTAGAGTCAGTTGTGGATCCAGGGATACATGACTAGGGGTCCATGCACTGTCACCTATAGTTTAAGAGATAGAACAGCACAAGAGAAATAGAAAAAAAGATATAAGGCATACGTCGGTCAAAAGTATCTTCACTAAAATATTTCACTAAGTCGCCAACTTAAATCAAATTTTACGAGCTGTATACATTATTGGGCCAATGGAATATGGTAATTCTACGTGAGCTTAAAATAAATAAGATTAAATGGCTTGTGATGAGATGAGAAGATATATGATAGGAAGAGATGAGTAAAGATGAGATGAGGGGATGCGATGAAATGAGTTGGAATGAGGTATTCTTATAAATATTTATATTTCCATCAAATGAAAACCATACACAAATAGTATGGACGAATAATAATCTAATAAATACTGTTTGGCCTGGATATCCATTAATTATACATTTACATGAAATTGTCTCTTGGTCACCGATCTCACTGATCTGCGGATTCGACGCAAAAGCCAATAGACCTTCCATTTGCCCCAGACCAGCCGACTCTGAGCGCTCGCCTCCGGTAGATATAGTTAATGTTTGCTCATCTTCGTTAATACGAATCACAGAATCATTAGTCCTTCCTGCTTCTGAATCAGACAGAAGAATATGCTAGATCAATCGTTGGTGAAAATGCATTAGTTTAAATTTCAAATGTGCCTGGAGCAAAGTGTGCTGTGGTGAGCAAGAATTGTCTTGATTTAGTGACTGTTTGTCCAAAATAAAATTTTCATAAGCTTTATCTAAGAATTAATTTTAAATATTACTGCCTTAAGCTCCAAAAATACACCATTTTACATCCGAATCTTTGATCAATATTTAGTATTCTGGAGCGTCAAAAAATAACTTTGTGCAAAGGTAAAACGTTATTTCAGATTCATAACTTCGTTCAGAGCATAGTGACTATAATAAAGTAGTTTTGAGAATAATACTAGCATCAACATTACCATGATAAATATTGTTGCTATCTAAATGCAAAGCAGCTATCTGTGTTTCACAGAATGGCTTGGCCAAATCAAATCGACTATGATCTTGAACAGCCTGAATTGTTCTGTCGCTTCTAGCTTCTTCAGATACTCTCCGTATGCCGAAGTAATGTTCTTTCATATTTTCAATCTCTCGTCGGTTATTTATGATGGCTCCTTTAGCCATAGTTGTTGTTGGTGCTGGTATAGATATAGGTAAAGAAGACAGATTATGAGCCTGGCATCCGACACGGGATAAAGAAGATCCGCAGTAGCGCGACCCGGAAGGTAAAGAGGTGTTAGCTGGAGTCACCAAAATGTGACCAACAGAAGACGAGCGCGAGTGGTGAGGCAAAAGTATAGAGGGAGGCTCCAGATTAGGGCAGATGAATGTCGATTGTTTGCTAGTAGGACTGTTATATATAAAAATTTATTGAAAGAAGATTAAATATAAAGTAGATTATAATTAAAAATTCACATATAAATTATAAGACATGAATAGATACCAACTTAAAAGAGCCGAAAGTATATTTAAGGTTACATTAAGGTTTTATAATTGTAGAGCAGTTTGATAAAATTTGGAGGTACTTGATTTATTGAGTGAATCCTCTTACTCCCTTGAAACATGGTAAAACATAAATATACAATAAATATGTTGCTGATTTTAATGAGACATG